CCGTGATTCTGCTAGATGCCTGCGCAGCTGCTATAGCAGCACTGATACGTGCTTGAACTTCTGGCGATGGCTGAGCATAGGTCGTGCCAATGCACACCGCAGCAGCAGATGCTAGTATCCAACCAACCATGATCACACCTGTAGTTCGCTTCGTGTTGTGAGGATTAACTAACGCTATATAACAGCGCTTATGTAGATCTTCCAGAAAATTTATACACTTTCATTTAATGACCGAACACTGTCGGACAACGGCATCAGTACATGGACAGCACTGCACCTTACGTGCCATCGCGTGCAAGTCGGTGAGGCTGAATCATACCCGTGACGTAGTAGCTCCGAAGGTAAGGTATCGTTATGGCCACGCCACGTAAAATACGTGATGTACATATGGAGATGAAAAGTACACACATCGGTCTGTGAGTACGGGGGGCGCGTTCAATGTCGGTACTTCGTCGGCGTTGAACGGAAATGAAGCCGTCACCGCGAGTTTGCCACGCGTCGTGGCGAATACCCTATGCCTGTCCGAGGTCTAAGGCCAAAACTTATTAGCAGATTAACAGAGCGCTGAAATATAAACCCACAGAGGTCACGGTGTGCCTTGGCTCTCAACCTGTTTGCGGGCAATGCGTTCGAGTTCGTTACAAACCAGGTCGAGGCCTATACCATCACCATTCCAATAAAATTTCTCTTCTTCCGAAAGCTTCGACAGAACATATTCTGCTGCATCACCAGGACCTCTACCAATGCCAATACGAAATCGATGAAAATGGGTTTCACCTCCGAGTGCAGATATGATGCTGCGTACACCATTGTGCCCATTGGCAGAACCACCTATTTTCGGAGACAAAGCCTTCGGTTTATGAGATAGTGAATCGTGGATAACGACCATTGCATCTGAGGCTTTGACAGAATTGCGGAGAGCTCCCGCCACTGATGGACCGGTGATATTCATGAGGGGCTCTGGCTAAGTGTTTAAAGCCATTGAGAACTAGAACAATTAAATCACTAACTTGGTTTCACGAGTGTCAGAGATACAGCAGTTTGGCCTAGCGTGACCTTTGAACGTCCAGTCACGCCCCCCATCGTCCTGTCAGTGGACATATGTATATGAAATCTTGCAGCTAAGGCGTCAATTATGAGATGCCCGATGCTGCGGTTCCAATCAGTCTTTTGCGTCAGATGACAACTGTGAGTAATGAGAACCTACCTATGGCGGGTCTGGGGAAATGGAAGGTTACCCAGACCTACAACAAGCAGTTGGGGAAGTCCTGAAGCGACGGTCATCCTGCGAAATTTGTTGGGTATTATGTGTTGGGTATTGGTGTATTTAGTTGTAACGAAGGTCAATGAGAAGAATCAAGTGTTTGTAAGCCCTCAAGAGCTCCTTGACTCGGAGTCCGAGTCATAGTAGCTGGAGCCTGGCAGCTGCAGCCGGTGCACTCGAATTGAACGTGACCGTCTATTACCAAGTGTGTCCCAAATTTAGCAATAGGTGTGACAAAAGCCAGAAAGGCAATTATGCCGACAAGATACCATATTTGGAAACGTTTCGGAGGATGTATACTAATTCCGACGTCCTCACTTCTGACGGTCCAGATAGGCGAGGCTCTTGTTTGTTCTTCCGTCTTCCGTTTTCCGTTTTCCATCTTTTATCTTCCATCTCATTTTTATACGATGTCGTCGACTGCGACGGAGGCAAATATTGAACTCCGTCCTCGTCACAGACGTCGCTTTTCCACGAATGATCCACAGCGTAACCTCCGCCTGGCTATCTGCCAGCGCCTGCCTCATTCACTTGAGGCACTCGACCTCTCATCTAACTCAGCCAAAGAGACTTTTGCTGCACTTCGGTACCTCGTCCTATCCTATTTAGAAGACATTGAGATGCGATTGGCCAAACTCGAATCTCCAATTACTGACCTTCACCTCGCTGAGGCTTTGAAGAATAAGGGTGGTTACTCTGTCGAAGAAGCCAGACAGTGGGCTAAAGATGCCCTCGAGATGCTCCGTAGTATTCGAACGGATGTTTGCTCTCACTTCCCGGACCTCCATCTTCCAGACATATCTCCAGTAAAGTCTCATCTCCCCGAACTCCCCGATGTCCCTTCTCTGAGCGACGTGCGCTCGCGTCTACCTGATATTCCGAGCGTCCGTCCACATATGGCAGCCCTAGCTCCAAGCGATATCATATCGCTGTTAGAACATGCCTACTCCCGCTTTTCCGACTTTGACTTTTGTGGTTTTCTGCCAACTCTTTCCGCTCGCTTCCAGTCCTTCCATGCGCACCTACGTTCGTTTGACCCTCGCTCTAGTGAGCTTCCATCTCTCCCGGGAAATTCTCACATATCCGGCCTCATTGATTCCATCATGTCCTCCGAACTCATCACTGAACTATCTGATGATGTCACTGAAGCAGAGGCCATGATAGAAGTGGCAGCAAAGGACATTGCTCGTGCAGTCAAACAGTCATTACAAGGATCGCGACTAATTGAGTATGTCGACCTTCCGCCAAAATGGCGAAACAACCCCTTTGTTCTCGGAGGCTATCGGTATGTGGCAAATCCTTGCCCTCTTTGCAACACGTTCATTCGTGCATCAGGTTCATCCCCCTAGAAAAGTGGCCGCTTATTATTATGTCACTGTTCGCTGTACACAATGAAACCCGTATGTTATATTTCTTATAAATATTGTTACATGCTGACTATCACAAAGTGAACATACACACGCATCTCATTCCATTCATTCTTTGGCTCGTTAACTTGATATCCATATTTAACGCATCAAATATCGTAGACACTCCGGAGATGGCATTTATTTCATTTGCTCTTTTGTGCCTTTTCAGCAGCGTGGTCTGGCATACCATGGCTGGCTGTGCACATCCTCAGGGCATGGAGCTTTGTGCACGGATAGATTATGTAGGCATTGGATGGTGAGTACAATTCAACGCTTCTTGAATTTGCTGAATCATTCGCATCCCACCAGGCTTATCAGCGCCTCAGTTGGCACCGTCGTATATTATGGCTTCCAGAAGTGTCATCCAGAAGTGGGAAACGCATTCCTTGTTTGTTGCTTGATGACTGGGATTGCAGGGAACGCATTCCCATTCTTTGAATGGTTCGATCAGGCCGAGTATAAAGTGATGACGTTTTTCGTTCTTTGAATTTCTTACTGACTTGATTCCTTCAGCACTATCGCATTGCTTTCTTTCTGTCCCTTGCATTTACCGCCGCCGCCCCGATGACAGCCCTTGCATACCTCCAATCGCCTGCGCAGATGTTCGCTTTCGTTTGTGAGTCCCTTCTACCATACCGCAGAACATCCCCCGTATTGATAAACTTTTCTAGACCCCGTCTGGCCCTCCGTCATATCGTACCTCATCGGCCTTGTCTTCTACGCAACACATATCCCGGAACGCTTCCTTTCCGAGCGGTACTCTCGCTGGCTGGATTGGTGTGGTGGCGGTTCTCACGCAATCTGGCACATTTTTATCGTCATTGCTATCGGCCAACACCGTGCTGCGATGGCAGAGCTCCGACGCGGCGTTGAGTGTCATGCTGTATCGTGACGCTGATTTTTTAATTGGGCTGAATGCATTTAGAGGAGCATTACTGATCTGTGTGACTTTTTGCTGCCATCTAAGCATAAGTGGGGATTAATTGTTCCGTCCTGGTATGTTAGATATATACAAGAACACCCTTCGGTCGGCTCTTCGACGATATTAATATTCTATATACAATAAAAACTGAGAAAATACAGCACTAACTTTACCCCAAATAGACAGTGTCTCTTACTCTCAACAACGCTGTATACAATTGACCGTGAGCGTTGAAGAGATCAGTCCGGAAGTCAATCATGATTCGCGCTGACGTCACCCGGATCTATATCCGTCGACTGTAATTGCATATGTGGATCGCAGAAGAGACTGTCTTTGATTCAGTGTCTATGACAAACGGTTTGGATGGAATGCGCGAAGTCTTCACCGAACTGGTCGTTGAAGTGTGAACTTACAGGGCAGGTAAGTTAATTACCGCTATAAAGCGATACGGTAGATATCTTACCCCCACCGTATCAGTCATTAGTCCAAACCAATGGGTCACTGATGGGCCACCAGAGTCATTGTTTCGACTGCAGGCTGCCCTGGACCTGAATGCAAGTCCCCATAACGGTATAAGTATTCCTGGCCGATTGCAAATTACAACCTCCGCATGACACCAAGCCGCATCAAATGATGCAGACACCGAGGCGAACGTTCTCGGGTATTCTCTCAACCAACAAGGTTGGTACGCAGGCGTGGTTTGAGATCTTGAGATCAGTGCGTATTCATTTTTGATAATATATTGTGTTTGTAGTAGCAGCTCGGGAAATATTATAACATTAGCACAATCTTGTAATTCGTTCGTCTCTGCGAATAGACACATCGCATACGCGAGTTGCAGAGGAAACTATCTTCAATTCACTGTCCACGAACATCATCCTCCCACCTACAAGGGGGTTATTGCACTGCTGAGCCACGAGGCGATTTCAACTCACTCCTCGACCGCATCGTGAATGTGCTCATCTTCTCGTTGACTGAAAGGCAACTAGAACTTGGAACGAGGCTTTATTAGCCTATACAAGGGCACGTATTTTGCGGTCGGGTATCCTTCACGGTAAATGCCATAGGTAGACTATCCTCGAGCATTGACACCTGGTGCAGTAGGCCCGGTGATCGAGGACTAGAAACCATCAAGGCACTTACCTCCTGTCAACAGGCGAATAGCAGCGAGGTATGGGGATCATGAGCATGGGTTGAGGACTAAAGACTATCAAGATACTTACCCGCTGTCAATGGGTGAGTAGCAACAAGGCATCAGCGTTGTTCATGCTGTTCGAACTTTACAAACCACGATCTTACCAGCTATTATCGATGGACAACTGTAATCAAAGAAAAATATATCAGAATGTCTACAGTTCCAGCACTTCAATATTTACCATCCATGAGTACCATTAGCAAGACATCATCATATCGAATCAATCTTCGTCTTACTTTGAGATGTGGAAACCACTAGCGATGCAATACTGATAGACTTCAGAATCGATTTCAAGTAGCCCGAATTACTGATGTGCACGATCGAAGAGTGTTCTAGATAATGTTGGAACAAAAATATGGAACTTGCAGCTCTGCGACTCACGTAACGGCACACTTGATACAAAGTTTGGTTGCTGTGTTGATAACAAGCACAACCGCAGTTCTTCGTCGTCTAATGCGAGGGTGGTGTGTTCCAGCAGAATGTTGCAGTTTGTATTTAATTTGTTCATATCTAAGACAGTTACTAATATCGGCTTTGACATGGGACGAACCAATCTAAACCACTTACTCTCCAAGCGTACATAAGACTTGCGATAGGTACGGTTTTCAGGCTCGCACAACTCATTGAACACACCCATTTTCGTGAATAGTTCTTCGACACGTTGGGCAATCCTCTTAGAGCGTTCTTCTCCCGATAACCCTTCCAGTTGCTTCTTGATCTCTCCATACACGTGTGGACGCAGAGCTTTGAACTTGGTAAACACTGCGACCACGGGAACTGAATATTGATAATTTAGACCGAGCACGGCAGGTAACAATTAGGTTCACCGTGCCTAATGTTGCACTCCAAGAAGAACTTCTCCTCCAACCGCTGGAATGTTTCGACTCGGATCGTCCATTGGGATACAATACCTAACGGCAATCAACAAGGGCAGAACGTAAGAAGGGAGTGACTTGCCAGATAGCATGGATTCGTTCCTCCAATCTCGTCGCGTGCGCGTTCTGAGATAAATCCCTTCATATTCTCGAATTCTGCTTTGGATCCCGCTTCAAAACCGCACGAGTCGTGAAAGACGAAACTGGGATTGCCTTTGAATAGCATCTCGTTTGTGATGTCGTGATTTCCACGCTGAGCATCTGTGAGCGCATGTATATCCATAGGGCAAATGGTGCACACACCCCAATCGAGGAATTCACGATGGCAGCATCGATCTACCCACAATTAATCAGCGATTGACGCGTGTATGACATCATAGATCATCACCTGCACCTTGTTTCCTTTGGCGTCATAGATTTCTGGTTCATCCGTGGTATTAGAGACCTTCTGAAGAATGGTGGTTTTGCCTGCGTTTGCTCTCCCTATGATCAGAACTCGAAAGCGCTCGATTCTTTCTCTGAGGTCCTGTGTATCGATGGTTGCCATTGGGAGATCTTGATGTGCGTCTTGAAGTAGATAATTTAGTTTATCATGGAAACTGTACTGTGGTACAGAGCGAGATTGAGATATGACAGCGAATGAACATGAAGCGCTCCTATGGCTTCGACACAACAGCTGCACACGACATCTATCTCTTATCTATTTCCCTGCATCAGATAACTGATTGTACCTTCGCACAAATACGAAATTTCAACTGACCAATCGTTCATACGATAAAACACAAGGATTACACAACAAACGATGTCGAACGATGTCAACATTGAAAGAGATATCAACTGTAATGAATAATCAGAATACGATGGAAATAGCAGAATTTCGCTCTTCCCTACCCGTCGAGCTGAAAAACAGCGATGTCAGAAATCTCTGTAGATGGAGATGAAGATGAACTTGATCTTCCGAGGTCTTCCAGATAATTGATTTTTTGGACGTCTGAGAGCAAAAAGAGCATGTCGGGATGTGAGACACCGTCTGGAAAGGTGATATCCCGTGGTGCTCAGCATGTTCTGTACGTTTAGAGTTTTCCCCGGAAGATGGTGGTTCTGGGTATGAACCAAGGGGCGACAGAGCAGTAGGTGCCGTGTGTGTCGACTGAACTCGAACATCGACCACGCTGGTTAGTACTGAAGGGGAAGCCGGTCGCGGAAGCTTGTATATTCAAAGATACCTTGAGGCAGTTTTGGTGCACGTCCGGGGATGACTCTGACTGTCCAACTTACTTCATATCAAGTATCAAAGAAGATGTACCAGCCAACATACACGTAGATTCGGAGGGCGTGCATCTTACTGGATACGACACAATGCGCCCCAAGAACCCTTGAATATTGACTCATGGACAAATCTCTTGTAGCGTCAACAGTCGCAGTGGCATCCGGTTCTGTGCGCCACCGGTTAACTGGGCCCTCCTTCGACTCTTCCCGCCACGGTACCCACCGCGATGAGTGACGTCATTCAGGCCGGCTCCTTCTCTGTTTATAGCGAGCTCCCTGGTGTCTTTCGACGAAATTGAGATTGAATTGGGATCAGGTAGCGTCAACGGTCGTGATGTAAGTGATGAAGTGTATGACCCTGCACCTGGAACGTATAAAATAACATGCTTTGATAAGAATACGGTGAGTATGAGGACTCGGGGTGTGAGCCACGACTCACCAGTTTGAAAGATATGCATGACCGTATGCCTTGGATCCGGCCATTCCAAAAAACGTCGACAAAATTGCGGCGTTGAATACTGGGTGATTATCTCTGCTGCTCTCTGCCGGTGTCAAAATCGTAGTGGCCTAAGTCATATATGACGACATGGTCAGATGAACCGGGTGAGGTAACTGTTGTATCTGTAGGATGTAACAGCCTTCTGCGAGTAGTAGAAAGTGACTTCGCTGCAGCGTTTGGAAAGGAAGAAATTGTGGGTGGTGAACTGAAATGGAGAGAACTGTATGCCCGGGCGCTCATTAAGATGGTGATTTGCTAGATATTGAGTCGGACGTCAATATATATTTAAACAATCCTGGAGAAAAATAAGATAGAAAATTTGTGATACTAGTACTTCACATGAAGTCTGAGTCTCTGCTTAGGGTTCGGACCGTGAGGAATTCACTGTGACACCCGGCATCGCGGCACACCCGTGACATTCTATTCCACTACTCTGACGCCCAGCAACAATATTTGTCGATGGCCTACTCGAACTTACAAGGCAGGTAAGTTAATTACCGCTTAGACATCTTACCCCCACCGTACCAGTTATCAGCGCAAACCAATGAGCCATCATGGAAACTTCAAACCTAATTATTGGGAAGATTCGCTGATGACTCCACTGATGGACCGCCAGAATTTCTATTTCGCCTGCTCTGCTGATGATGGGGCTGGCATGCCTGTCCTATGAAGGTAAGTGGTATAAGTATTCCTGGCCGATTGCAAATTATACCTAGAGCATCGTCCTCGTGTTGGATACAATAGCCACCGATCGAGCCGGCGGTTATTCGTGTATGAAATGCACCTGATGTTATCATCGATGGACTGCCACTGCCAGACTTTGAAAGTTCGTCTGCAGGAGTGTCAAAGATCTACAAATGTGTCAGCCTGTGAAGGACAATCGCTGCCAAAGTCCGGTTTAAGCCAAGTCATCGACGCATGTGCATCTTCATATCACTGTGGCCAGCTCACTATAAAGCCCCTTGCGCCAACCGACATTCATCCAATTTACATCCTAACTCCCACTCAGACTTCACATAGCGATCATGACAAAACCTCCCGTGCCGGGCACCTATGTCATCGTTAATAGGGCTCTCTCTCTAAATAACGAAAGGCTTGCGATCACCTACAACGGTCTAGATCAGCCTTTTACTGTGAACATCAAGACCGGTTCTTCTCGCCAGCTTGTATGTGGTCCACGTCGTTTTATGTGTACTGCTTGAATACATATCACATTTGCAGTGGATCGTTCAGGATCACGGCCATAACACCCGATCCTTGGTTCCTGTCGATGCTACTGACCTCCAAGCTGCTCGGGATGCAGGCTGCGTGACAGCACTTCCAGCACATAATTATGTATGGACCATTATAAAAACCGACTCAGGATTCAGGTGAGTTCCGCCTCGTTCTTTGGATTTCATTTCATGAACCGAATCTTCCAGTATTCAAGATGATGTAGGAACTGTGTTTTGGGGAGTTGCGGATGCAGTCGACAATGCTCCGGTAAGGTTCATAGGCTAACGTGGATTTACCGTTCTGAGAGTTCAGCAGGTCACCATTGAACCCGATAACGAAAAGCACAGGTGGTCTTTCGAACAAGTGCAGTAGATCCTCAAGTTGAAATGAGTAGCCACATCAGTAAATGGCGTTGTTTCTGGAGAATCCGATCAATGTATCAGTATCATGACCGCTCAGGCTGTGCATTAAGATGCACATGATAACTGCGATATTCATCTTGCTCCGCAAAGTCATGTTCCCCAGCTAAACTGACTTTATGTCGAGAAATTTACGCCTCAGCGAGAAGTCGCCTGACCTCGATTGCGCGTCCCGATCGGGCGGATCTCTGACGTTCACACCTCGGACCGCTGCGTCGACCATTGATATTCACCCCGTGCATTCCGCCGACCTAGCTTTTATTTTCGCCACTTCACTGACAAAGGTGGCTAACTGGCTGTCGGAACCATTTATTACTCAAGCTTACCATTTTATTTATTTAATTCATCAAAAGTAATTCCATCAGTTCTTGGTTGGTTGAGTGTTCATCGCCGTCAGCACTTAACGATTATCAAGTCACTCCGGAACGGCGGAATACGGTACTGAGTGCGCCCAGGGCCTAGCATTGTCTAAGCACAGTTCCAAAATTGTGGCTCACTTCAGCCCACTTCTCGTCTAACGTAGTCGATGTCTATTATCTCGTCAAATGTAGATCAGAGTTGAAACAGTGTATATCATTTATGTAACATTATAACTATTGTATCTGCGCGTGACAACATGTCCTTTAGAATCTAACAATATATCAGCCTTGTATGATACAGCCTGCCCATGCTCACATATTCAACATTTTTCATCCAATTTGTATGTTCGTCATTTGATCACGACTAATGGTGAACATTTTCCGACTCTGGTCTTATATTTTCAGTGCGAACACAGCTCAAAGTTGAGCAAAGTTGTTAATTCGTCTGCACTATTGTGGAGCTGTGACTCAGTGTCACGTTTGTTGTATTTGCCACTGCCGGACTTGGAATTTTTGTCTGCGGGTGTGTCAAGGATCTACAAATGTTTCAGCTGTGAAGGACAATTGTCAATGCCAAAGTCCGGCGCAAGCCAACCGACGCATATGCATGTTCATATCACTGTGGCCAGCTCACTATAAAGGCCCACGAAAATGCTCGCCAGTGCCAACCGACATTCATCCAATTTACATCCCAACTCCCACTCAGACTTTACGCAGCAATCATGACGCAACCTCTCGAGCCGGGCACCTATGTCATCGTTAACAAGATTCCCTGTCCAACTGACGAAAGGCTTGCGATCACCTACAACGGTCCAGATCAGCCTTTGACCGTGAATATCAGGACCGATTCTTCTCGCCAGCATGTATGTGCTCCACGTCGTTTTATGTGTACTGCTTGGATACATATCATATTTCAAGTGGATCGTTGAGAATTACAGACACACAGACAACTCCAAATACCTGGTTCCTGTGGATGCTACTGACTTCCAAGCTGTTTGGGATGCCGACTGCGCGCGTACATTTCAGAAATATAATTTTGTATGGATCATTCAACGAACCAACTCAGGATACACGTGAGTTCCACCTCGTTCTTTGTGTTTCATACCACGAACGAGTCGAATTACTTATCAACCGAATCATCCAGTATTCAAGATGATACAAGAACTGCATTTTGGGGAGCTCTGGATGCAGTCAACAATGCTCCTGTAAGGTTCATAGGCTAACGTGGATTTACCGTTGCTGAGAATTTAGCAGCTCGTCGTTGGATCCGACACCGGCGACGAAAAGCACAGGTGGTCTTTCGAAAGAGTGTTGTAGACTTCGGAACAAGTAGAAATGTGTATAAATGGCGTTGTTTCTCGAGAACCCAAACGATGTATTGGTATTATGACCGCTCAGCGCTTAGGCTGTGAATTAGGATGCATATGATAATTGCGATATTCACCTTGCTCCGCAACGTCAGTTAAACCAAGTCGAGCCTCAGCGGGAAGTCGCCTGACCTAGATTGCGCCGTCCCGATCGGGCGGGATCATCCACTGGCAGGTCTCTGAGCGAACAACAAGCGTTTACACCTCTTTCTCCGCTGCGTTGACCATTCACTCCGTGCATTCCGTCGATTCTTCACTTCGCTAACAAAGGTCTGTCGGAGCCATTCATTACTTCAGCTTACCATTTTGTGCTGATTCATCAAAACCAATTCCATCAGTTGTTGGTTGGTTGAGTGTGCTTCGGTGTTCATCGCCCTCAGCACTTAACAATAAGGACCCGGAAATACGGTACTGAGTGCGCCCCTAGCGGAGCACTCGTATTGTCTAAGCGCAGTTCCAAAATTGTGGCCCACTTCAGCCCACCTCGCGTCTAACGTAGTTGATCATGTCCATTCTCTCGTCAGATGTAGATCAGAGTTATAAAATACAGTGTATGTGATCATTTAACACAACTATTGTATCTGCGCGTGATAACATGTCCTTTATAATCTAACAATATATCAGTCCATACCCAACATCTTTCATTCAAGTATATTCACCATTTGATCACGACTAATGGTGAACATTACCCGACTCTGGTCTTAATTTTTTAGTGCGAACACAGCCCCGCATACACCAACAATTCGTCTCCGAATTTGAGTAGGACATGTTATGTTTGGCTGTGTCTCAGGTGTGACGTTGTTGTATGTATGCGTCTGCGGGGGTGTCAACTTTCAAGGATCTACAAATGTTTCAGCCTGTTGTCGCTGCCACAAGCCAACTGACACATATGCATCTTCATATCACCGTGGCCAACGCACTATAAAGCCCCATGAAAATGCTTTCACCAACCAACATTCATTCTCACTCCCACTCAGACTTCACACAGCAATCATGACGAAACCTCCCGTGCCGGGCACCTATGTCATCGTTAATAAAGCTCTCTCCCCAACTAACGAAAAGCTTGCGATCACCTACAACGGTCTAGATCAGCCTTTGACCGTGAACATCAAGACCGATTCTTCTCACCAGCGTGTATGTGCTCCATGTCGTTTTATGTGTACTGCTTGGATACATATCACATTTGAAGTGGATCGTTCAGGATCACGACCAGAACACCAAATCCTTGGTTCCTGTCGATGCTACTGCCCTCCAAGCTGCTCGGGATGCAGACTGTGCAACAGCACTTCCAACACATAGTTATGTATGGACCATTACAGAAACCGATTCAGGATACACGTGAGTTCCACCTCGTTCTCTGTGTTTCATTTCATGAACCGGATCCCCCAGCATTCAAGATGGGGCAGGAACTGCGTTTTGGGGAGTTGCGGATGCAGTCGACAATGCTCCGGTAAGATTCATAGGCTAACGTGGATTTACCGTTGCTGAGAATTTGGTAGCTCGTCGCTGGGTCCGACACCGGTGACGAAAAGCACAGGTGGTCTTTCGAAACAGTGCTGTAGACTTCGGAACAAGTTGAAATGTGTATAAATGGCGTGTTTCTCGAGAACACGATCGATGTATTAGTATTGTGACCGCTCAGGCTGTGAATTAGGATGCATATGATATTCACCTTGCTCCATAAGGTCATGCTCCCCAGTTATATAAACTGACTTGATGGTGGAGAAATTTACGACTCAACGAGAAGAGTCACATGTCCTCGATCGCGCGTCCCGATCGGGCGGGTTCAATATTCAATCTGGGCGATGGGCGGGCTTGCGTCGGATGACTTCGCGTCTGCCACGGCTAGCCCTAAGTTCGGATGAGAGTTTTTTCTGATGTCGCGGGTCAGTATCTGAGGACAGTACAAACGGCGTGTTCATGCGATCGATGCTGGGCCTAGATCACCTTCTGCAAAATCTACACTCACTAGTTACCCTTATTTTTTGCCTGACAATTTAGTTGTTTTGTTTGCTTGATTGTTTACAATTGAGCGCCGAGCCATCGAAGTACTTAGTAACCTGTGCTTTGCATGAGCGTAAATGGTCGAATATATTACTCATGCACGTCAAACCCAAATTTACCAGTCCGTCTATCGACGCCTTGCCTCGGGGCTGGTCGAACACCCTATGTCCGAGACATAGCCCTATTCGACCGCGGAGGGCATGCTCCTGGCTTTCAATCATCAGCACAATGTGACTTCCATACGTGCACGCCTTGGCTCTTTCCTACATGATCTGATGGAGATATGAAGAGCGGAAGTTCTGGTCCAATCGTTTACTCACATAATTATGAATGTCCTGCGGGAAGCCTGAAGCCGACGACTGTGGCATCATACCCTTTGATATCGCCTCGGGCAAGTCATGAACGTTGCCCATGAAGCTGGAGTCCAGTGTGAATTGCTCATTCAGCGGATTTTGCGAGCTGTCTTCGTGCGACTGAAGGCTCTCGTGATCTGAGAGGCACGGATGCATAGGGTGTCTTGGCGGATAGACGGGCTCCAGTGAATTGTAATAAGCATGAGCCGTGTTTATGACGGAAGGTGGATTAGCTTGATATGGATGACACGGTGTCACAAAAGATGGGGGCGTGCATACAGGGACCGAGTACCGAAAGTGATATATAGCAGAGAAAATAAGAACAGGGCGTCGACGGCCTAAACACCTTGGCAGACAAGGTGCCGGATCTGTAGGACGATACACATCATGAAGGATGGTGTATATGGTGGGGTCTTGTGGGAATAATTATACGTCTATTGTGTCAAGGTCAGAAAGAAAGTACGGACCTGGGGATTTGCACAAGAGTTCCCAATACCTGGGAACTAAGGCTGTTCCGTAAAGTAATGGGTTATTATCCGGTGGGTTCACAGAACCGGCAAAATATGGTCCAATACATTCGAGTTTCGTGTCCTCGCTGTGTATGGGTGCGCCATCCAATAATATAATATAGGATGACTTGGCAATGACGACAGAGGTCGAGACGAAAGTTACAGTGGGATCAATATCCCTCATGTGACACGGCGTGTTCGAGGGGTGGAGCCCAATGGGGGACTGGTATAGAGTCGAAGATGAGCTCCAGCGCGAACTAGACTCTGGTAAAATGTCAATGTATACTGGAGTACGTGTGTCAAGAAGCTGGTTATGTCTAGATAATGGCATGGTAGAGCTGCCACAGTATTGCGGGGAAGATATAGAAGAACAGGTAGTGGTAGGTGAGTTCTCAGATCTCAGCGGTTAAGAGCTGGAAGATCAAAAGCAAATGGATGAATTTATATCCGCCCTCAAGTTAAGGAGAAAACCTCCGTGACCCGACTTCACTCCGCATAGGCAGATGCCTATCACTTCCAAGAGTAAACCAAAAATAGAATGACGCCTCAATGAACGCTCGAACCGGCGTCGGGGGCAGATATAAACTCACATTAATCTCATCCAAATCGGGTGCCTCCATGCCTATTTGTTATAATAATCTGTGGTTGACCGCCTCGTGAAAGATATACCTGAAGATGAAGCGATAATCGATCGTGCAGGAATCAAGCTGAAGTTCACGTTTCGCACGAGTCACTAGAGGGGTTTTAATTATTGGAGGCCTGGATTCGGAAAGGGGCCCAACGTGAGAGGCCTGGTAAGGCTGTGAGCTGTGATCTGCAAAAGGTGATATGGACCTTTCAGCATCATGATGGCCTCGAGATAAGGCGGCCATATAGGTCCAGTTACTATAACCCAGAATGTTCTTTTGTCTGATGATTTTCAACTTAGCCGCAGAGGATTGGAACCTGCTGGATGGGGATGAGCAGCATTCAAGCTTCAGAACGCACCACTTACATGAGCATGACATCGCGCGAGCAGCGAATGGTTTCCAACAAAATCACTCGGTGTGACACTGTCACGTACTGGTAGTCTGTACGCCCCAACTTAGTGCGCATCCCAACAATTATGAGGTTAGGGTTCGAATTCACGCCTTTCACAAATTACATAAAGTGTGTTACAAGTTGATTGCACCTAAATATGCGAGACTTTTCGGTCAGCTACATAGGTCGGGCGCACAGGGAATGGAACCAGCACTAGGAGGGAAATAGTGGGTAAATAAGTAATGAGGTCGAAGATGCGGTTGCGCTTGGAAGGATAGCTACTGATATATCTCAGTCTATCATATTAGGTTGACCTTCCTTGGCACCGGATCAACCCGATTGAGAAAATAAGTGTAAATAAAGCCAACAATGGAGTATGAATACTGTACAGGTGGAAGTGAGCATGTCTTCGGTGGATGGGTCCGAAGAAATGCCATGCTAGATGAGGATATACTGTGCGATAAAGTTGAACCCACAGGTGTGAGTCATGCAATGTTATTAACATAGCAGTGTCAAGTGATAGACGCTCGACCACAATATGATTTACTGATGGTTATACCAAGAAACTCCCGGAACACGCCGAGGAACGATGATACGAAGGATCTGTCCGTCAAATTCTGCGCGCACTTGCGCCAGATCAGCGTCATATCCGAACAACACACGACGTTCGAAGTGCCCTGCATTAGGAAATAAGCACACTATAAATTGAATAAAAAGATCGACAGCTTACCGCCTTCAGGCTCCCATGAATCAGCAACGACGTGAAGTATGCGGCGCCTGCGGGTAGAAATCGTACTGAAAAGGTAATCAACGAACTTCCCATGAAGTACAAACCATCAAAAACTCACATGCCATCCCTTCTGAAGCCAGGGAGTCGCACAACCAGCCGATACTCCGACGGCGAAGTCTCCACGGCTATCCAAGTATCTGGGGGAGGAGCATGACAAAGAAACGAGTCATAAGGAGCACGTCTATCGGCATCTTCTCCGCAGCGTTCAGCTTGCGTCGGCGGTGTCAAAATCACTGGTGCCTCGGGAGCAGGATACAGGCTTGAATTGAAAGATGACGCAGGCGGGTGCGTCTGGCCATCGGGCAAATTATCGCACGAGTAGGCCGGAGGAGGTGAGCATGGGATGGGTGCGTTGGACAGAGAAAGGTGTTTAAATTGCAGATCATTGGATGCTGCATTTGTTTGCGGAGGCACGGGCAGCGTTCGCCGCTCGGATGCCTCCGACGGTGATTGGCTGTTACTGGGGGAAGACGAAGCAACAGTTACTGAACCATCCATCCGGGGCAGAAGATTACAAGGAGTTTGCGGTGGTAAGGGCAGCCTCGCTGTGGAATCATCATCTAGACAACTGATAGGTTGCATAGACAGATGACCGTCAGGTAACGAGGACGGAAACATAGGCGCCGCTGGTATGAGTTGAGTTTCCATACTATGTGATGAGAACTGCTGGCGAATAGTTGCTGAGGAAGTATCAGGAGTATCAGGTTGCTTGCTGCCCGAAAGATGTGAAGTGTTCATGTCTGGCGATGAGTCAGGGCTTGCGATTCTAGCCGGTGTATGTGGAATAGGCTGCAATTGTGTTGATGGTGACAAATGAAGCAACCCGGTGGAGCTATGATCCAATCCTGTAGAGTCGTCACTGTCGGCATGGTGTAAGACCCTGGTAAAGGATTGAGAAACATCAAGATGTACCCTTTCGAGCCAAATAAATTTGGTCTTGTGTTGGAAGCCGTATTAGGGAATGTATAGCCCGTTAACTGAGAAGGTAGGGGAACTTCTCTGGGCGAATGGAAAGAGGTGTGTCGCTTCGAGAAGGACAACCTACGAGATGGCGGCAGCGGGGAACGAGGAAGGTGTAGATATTCTAGGAAAAATTGACATAACAATAGTTGAGCAAAATTTACTATTTGAGTTGAAAGTTACGAAGACAAATTGAATACAACATTAGGTCTTTAACCGTGCCGTATGACGATAACACGGATATATCCGGTTCCTGGAGAGATCCGGAAACAGGCCCCATGGGAACGAACGAATGCAGAAGATCCCGGGGATTAAACCGCCACGAACAAATAAGAGACTAAGTAATAGGCGTGTCGACGATACACGCCAGTACTTAGTATTGAGAAATCAAGAAAGCGAGTTCGAGTTGAAAGCAGAGCATCACCCGACGTTAATATGGTTTCGTTATGTGACCAAAGGAAACCAGATTGCTCAAGGCTAGTGGCGTCCGAGTGGGAAACGCCATTGAGAGCACCATGACCGCGTAATTCACGGCGTGGCGAAAGTGAACAAAGTGGAAAACATTGTCATATGAACAGACAGCGCCGATAGCACTTCAGCGTCGGAGACAGCAAAGACAAGATAAAGAAACCATTAAAAAGTGAGAGTTGTAAATAATTCTTACCTGATGTACTACGTTTGTGGTTCCGGAAGACTGGGGATTTCTCTGAATGAGGGGGAGCATCAGATGATGGGTTGCCATCGCTGCGCATCGTCTGGAGTAAGTTGACAGAGGGTCTCTGGAACAAAGGGTGGGTGTAGTCTGGAGATCGATGCTGAATGATTTATGTGATCAGCAGGTGATGAGCGTCAGAATCGAGGCCGCTAAAAAGGAGCGAAGCAGGAAGAGATGAGATTATTGTGCGGCTTTGTCACACTCAGCCACTAAGTAGGTCAACTGTGGTAGTTGATTCATATGCGGCGAAAGTGGCAGCATTATAGCGGGTGGAGTAGGTTTATGATAGTGGCGTGAGATCCCGAGGAATGTCGTAGTGACGTCACAATCTTAGTCATGATCGGGTATTCGGAAATGTTGGACTCATCCAGCAGATCAGGCTACTGCGATTTTATACGGATAGGCATCATTTTAATCCTTCTTATCGAACCGCGATGGCGATAGAAGAAACTTCACATTAATGCATACATTGACGCGAGTTGGCTACGAAAATATTCAGGAAACGGTCGGCGTTTGCCGATTTAAACTAACAACTTGAGGGAGCAACGCCCTTGTTGGACCCATCCGTCTTGTCAAATACGGTTCTGGCTGATCAGTCTCCCGCCATTAGTATTTGATTTTGACCCCGGCATTCCAAAAGTAATTTTCTAACCACAACCTTAGGTGCTTGCGAGGATCCCTCACTCATTGCTCCATCTAACGCTGATAGTAAGTAGCTTATCAACCAACCCTCAGTCTGTCATTTTAACCACTCGCTTGTTCTAGGCTGATTTAATTTTCATGGTCACTGCTTCAGTCAATCACTGTTCGCGTACAAAAAATGGAAAGGGGAACTCATATGAGAACATCAATTCCATGTCGGTTCAGAACTCCTTCGCTCCTTTGCCAAATTTAGGCATGCAGCTCTATGTTCATGCAGGTACACTACTTGCTATGAATCTCGTACTAATACCTAACTTCTCTGCGGACATAGGAGCCTACCCCGAGACATGACACATGTTTTGGCATCACAGCATGTCTACTGCTCACCCTTTTACACTACAGACAATAACATGTGTGTATCACCTAAACGCGCACCCGCGGTAAGCCTTACTGTTGAGAAATTTCCTTATGTGGAAAGCTTGCATGACATAGCTTCACAAGTCAAGCACGTTTCATAAAGTGGAGACCGCGGCGCTCTTTAGATGCTTGTGTCTGGGAAAGACTCTCATATCAAATTGGTATGTTCTGTACCCTGAAGGAGGATGTTGACAAGTGTGAACATATGTGGAACAATCAAGGTCCTTCTTGGATACGCAGGTTTCGCCGCTGAGCGGTTGAGCACTTCATGTGACATGTATTAACTTGGCGCCAAGCTCAGGATTTGCGGCTGAAAAACTATCCCTTGCACGGTAAACTATGTTGAATTATCTATCAGTCAAATATGGGAATTCAACAAGGAGTTGTATCAGACAGCAATGGGAGGTGGAAATTAGGAAGCAATCGATTTCATGCCGCCGAAGTTCAAAACGGGTTTCCACTTCGGAATAAGTGCGGAAGTCGTGTTTATGTGTTCTGACGCGCATCTCATCTATTCGGGTGCGTTCCTCGCGTCTCCTGGCGCAAACATTATTTCCAATAGTCGTGCCTGGGTAGTTGCCGTCGTTTCGGTCATTCATCTCTGCGTGCCCCAGCGTGACTGTGAACGAATATTGCTCTCAGCACTTATGCACATGCCTGAATGGTGGACGTCTTTTCAAACATCAACCAATACCGTGACACGGCTTCTACTCCACCGCGGTGACAGACTTAGCTTCTTGCCATCACATCACTATCTTAGGTTTCAGCTATAGGAGCTTGCCTACATGCAGCTAGTCCAACGTTTCATAATCCAGTGACATCATTTATACTACTGAATCTTGAACGTGCTAGCGTCCGAAACCGATGAGGCAGGAATCCGAGTACATCGTCTTAGAACCTGACATACCGATTGCACTGCTCTCATGACGGCAAAGGCCGACCGAACAGCGCGGAATCATATTCTGATCGGAAACTCCAGGTACAAAAAAATTTTGCTAATCCGAACGGATCTAAGAGCTTTCATTTGTGAATCCGGCAGGAGCCGATGAAACGACTTGGGACTACCATTTGATGAGGGTATGGGGATACCCTAGGAAAGGCATTTTCGTTGCAGGAATTTCCCTTCTTAGTGTTACGAGATATCGGTGAACGACAGGTCATGCCAGCATACCTTCCCTCGGACTGTTTGAGGGAAATTATGCCATGGGATCAGTGCTCAACTCGGCGTTTGTTACCAGAGCCTTGGATCGTTCTCACTTCACCAAGGTAGATGGGTGAAAGGTTTCTGTGGAACACACTCAGTTCCGGTTCCGGTGCCAGTATGTTCTATTACTCATGATCTTGTACTTACTGAGGAGAAGTGGCCAACACGGGGTTCTTGTTGACGTCTTGTTTCCACCGTGACTGTCGGTACTCTGCACAGTCTTTGTGAATGGTACGTACCGCAGAAGTCGGGCTTGCAACGTTGGTTTCCAGCTGCGTATCGGTTCCAATGACGTCATGTGATGCGAGGGGAGGGATCAGTTTTAAAGGTGTTCGCGATCAGATGGAGGTGATACTCAGCTAGCAGACTCACGTGTTCCGCATCTGGAGGGGCGATGCTCGGCAGTGGCACTAGTCGATTCATCGAACGGGTTTAGGATTATGCAAAACTTCAGTGGCGTCGGCTAGGGTCAACTTTTGCACGGTCTGCTTAACTCCATGGTGCCCGGCCATCAAAAGTGGACCAGTATTATGAATGATCATTTTCCTTCGATCGACTGGCCTGCTGGAAAGAATCTCTGGTCCAATACCGGAGTGCCCTGGAAAGACGACGCCACCGCCGAGTCCTGACCGCGTTACCGACAAGTGCTAAACAAGAGAAAATCGAACATGGCTCCACACGCTCCAGAGGACAATCACGTGTGGCATCAGTAAACCGGTGAGTTCTTGCTGGGGATTATGCTGATTATGGTGCTTTTACATAGTCATATATTGCTTTATATCACTTTATATTCCAATGTGACGAAAACCTTTCCTATATATTACGATATATAACGATATATGACGATATCTTCTTCTCACAGGTTCTCTGATGCGCCGTAGTGCTGAATAAGTATATGGATGACAGGCGCTAAGCTGAAGTGACCTGGAACACTGGAATGACTCTCTTCTGAATCATTCTGTTGGGATCTGGGGATGACTGTAGGAGCTAACTCACTTGTCACTCAGTCGTCACTGCTGTAACCCACTGGCAGTTGTATGGTACTGTCCAATGGACTCGGAAACCATATTCATCGTGAGGACCGTACCAGAGGTTATAGGCTAAGGAACGATTGCCTTCTTTCGAGATGCTCTGGCTGGGGGAGACTACAGTGATACACACGTCCCTGCCCCGTAGGCAGTTCCATTTCGACATTGATTCAACTCGTCAAGTTAGCAGGCGTTCGCTGACTCTACCGCCGTTAATTCAAAGCCGCCAGCAACGTCTCACAGACGTGACTCGGAGCGCACGCCTATAATTGTACGTTTCTAGGCGGTCCTTCACCGGCAAAATGTCGGCTGGTAGATGATCGACTTGGACGGTCCTTGGAATACTGTTCAACATATATATGTGATATTTGTATTTATGTCTGGTGCGTTTTTCTTTCTCTCTGTCACCGCCCTCCCCGCTATGCTTCTGCTTACTTCTTCCAAGCAGACAATATCTGAACTCGTGTTGTACCTTCTCTGCGCTGGTGGATATGTGCGTGCGGCGAGGAACGCACCTGGCCAGCCCAAACAGGCAATGAAGGTCAACGCGTTTGAGCTCGTTGGCAACAGCATCGGCAGTGGCCAACAGGTACGTCAGCCCGCCGGTCGCTGCTTCACTTTCCTTGACTAACATTCGACCTTAGGTATTCTTGGGTACCGAAGACAAGGTCTATATCGTTGACAAAACAGAAAACAACCCGACACAAATCAATGGCCACCCTGCATGGGCTGCAGGTTTGTATTATTCTGTGACATTTGGTTCTAGTATGTTGATTGTCTCCTCTAGAATGGTCTGCTAGCTCCAAACAAACGCGTCCCATGGATGTTATTACGAATTCTTTCTGCGCGGTGAGCTTATTCTTTTTCCCCTTGATCCGCAGAAATATTTACGATGATCGGTCAGGGAGGAAGTGTTTTAGGTAATGGGACGTGGCTCAATGTTGGCGGTAATCAGGCGGTTACCTATGGTGGTGATACTGCCACGAGCCAAGTCGGCGGAGCTCCCTATAATGATCCTGATGGTGGACAATCGTATGCAGTCTTTTTCTTTTTTATATATCAGGCTAATGATCATGCCACGCTACACCTCAGTATTCGGTACAAACTTTTTATGTGACATGGCAAATCATTCTGAGCCAATTTAGGATGCTCAACCCGTGCGATGACGGTAACTGCGATTGGTTTTTGGCTGCACCCATGACTACAAGGCGTTGGTATCCTACCCTGTGAGTATCTTTGCCAACGTGTCACCCCGCACTAACATCGCGAATGCAGTGAAACGCTTCAGGACGGAAGCGTCATTATTGTACGTTTTTCACGCTTTGATGTATTTTTCGTCTGCTAACCCCCATAGGCTGGAGGATGCACGTATGGAGGCTACGTTAGCGATGCAGGACAAACCAACCCTACGTACGAGTTCTTTCCCAGTCGTAGTCAGCCAGTTCTCTCGCCCATCCTTCAGAATACGCTCCCTACAAACTTGTACCCTCTTATATGGCTCCTTCCCTCTGGCAAACTCTTTGTTCAGTCCGGCTGGAAAACGGTCTTGCTTGATATGGATCAAAATAAGGAAACTCCATTGCAGGATATGCCAGATGCCGTCCGTGTATATCCTGCGAGTGCCGGAAGCACGATGTTACCATTGACCCCAGACAACAACTACACGGCGTCGATCATGTTCTGTGGTGGTAGTAACATTCGTACTGAGCAGTGAGTCCAAATTCTAGACCACATGTTTCTAGGTCAAATGAATACATAAATGCAGATGGACCCAAAAGTGGGACATCCCTCATTGGCCAGCGTCTTCCTCCTGTGTGCAGATCACCCCCGACCAGTCCCCGAATTACGTTGAATTAGATGCTTTGCCAGAGGGTCGAACGATGGGAAACTTGATTCTACTTCCTGATGGAAGGGTCTTGTGTTTGAACGGCGCGAAGACAGGTCAGTGCCAGAAGGCTTCTGACAATCATCTTGTAATCTTGATTTTCAGGTACCGCCGGCTACGCAAACACCAATTTTACTATTGGCCAGTCGTGCGCTGACCAGCCGCATTTGACGCCACTCATGTATAATCCAAAGGCACCAGCTACCAAACGTTGGTCTCTTGATGGATTTTCTTCGAGTAGCATTCCACGCATGTATCACTCCACGGCTACCTTACTTCCAGATGGTAGTATTAATCTAATCAGACCAGAGCTTCGCTAACTTTTTTTCTAGGTTCAGTCTTCGTGGCAGGTTCGAATCCCAACAGTGACGTGAATACCACCGCCCCATATCCTACCGAATATCGAATCGAGCGATTCTATCCTTCATATTACAACCAACGTCGGCCAGAACCTCAGGGTCTGCCGAACCAGCTCTCTTACGGCGGATCCTATTTCAATGTTTCGTTGACGCTAGCAGACCTTTTTGGTAATGTGGATAATATCCAAACGGCAAAAGTCATTGTTATGAGGACCGGGTTCTCTACGCACACAATGGTACGATAGATTCAGGTGCTTATTTTATAACTGATTAATCATCCGTTGCAGAACATGGGTATGCGCTCGGTACAGTTGCAGAGCTCTTTCACAGGAAACAGCGATGGAAGCGCAGTTCTTCATGTAAACCAGTTACCTTCCAACGCAGCCATCATGCCTCCTGGTCCTGCACGTACGTCTTTGAATCCTCTCCCTGATTTTGGATTACTGAGTTCCCAGTAGTGTTGTTCGTTGTCGTTAACGATGTCCCCTCCGTCGGAATTCAGGTCATGTGCGGGTCTGGCAAGATTGAGAAACAGTCGATGATGCCTGTGCAAAACCTTCCAACTTCAAATATTAATTCACAGCAGGCGGCGGGACAAAAGCAGATTTCTGGTACAAGCTTCTTGGTCCATTCTGCCAGAAACTGGTTGGTCTTTATGATGAAATACGTTGGAGCGGTCTCCGCTATCTTACTTTTTTGAGCTGGCGCGCCTCGTGTTTGCTGTACCTTCGCATAATACTTTACATTACTTTCGACCATTTGCATGACTTTTTAGACACGGACGCTATGTCACACACCCGTAGTCGTGTACATTGACCGTAGAACGCCCGTGTATTTATATGTTAGACATGCCTCGCGTTGCCGGTATTCGGATACCGGATCGTGCCAAGATACTAAGGATGGTTGGTTTGAAATTATGAGTCCAATATACATACTTGAGCCGACTTTTCCGAGTTCTCAACTTCTCATACAAGCAGTGAAGGTGCCAATGCCTTGAATAATCTAGTGTAACTTATGCTTAAGCTTAGTGCGTAAATAAAGATTGCGGGGAAAGTCATAAGGTCAATAACTTTAACGTTAGTGTGGGGCAAGTGCGGCGGACCAAAATAAGGCAATTTGATTATCTGAACGTCTCAGATTGCGGCCAAGTATTTAGCTGGTATAAATACTCGATTCACGTTCGTGCCAGCATGCAACGTTTGCAGCAACCACTATCACGGGCTCCTACAACTATACTTGAAGCATATCCGTCACCTGCTCCACGTATGCCACAGTCACCTCTTGTGCAATCCGCCAAAATGCACGTCAAGAGGGTGACACTAACATCCAAGAAGAACTGGTGGATGGGTGAGTCGCTAAGGTTTGCATACATAATTGATTCATTGACTTTTCTGTCGCATTGCAGTTGAGCTAGATCAGGAGGACGAGAAGCCAGTGCATCCGTCTACCAAGTCGTTCGCGTCATCAGAAGAAACTGCAGTAGTACCAGACAATGGCCTTTTCAATCAAAAAGTTGAGGGAGAGAGAGCAAAAGAAATACCATCTCCCAACCCCTCGATACCTGTGTACAATCCACCACGGCACCCAACTTCGATATTTTCCTTTCCTACGCCAACCGCTTACTCTGCACCACCAAACCCTACCGCGAACCTTGCTCCTGTGGCGCAAGGTTCCGCTTCTGAGCTGTTCAAGTGCGTCGTCAAGAAACCTGACGTTGTACAGCTTGAGATCAACGGAGAGATGCAGTCAAATGCATCAGATGTGACAACACAATTCCTCGCCGAGCTGCGCGTATATACCACGGTGTCGCGACACCGCAATATCACCGCATTTCTAGGCTGCTTGGAGAATGTTGGTATGGTGTTGGAGTACATCGACGGACGAACATTGTATGAGGTCATTCGCTTGAAACCAACTCTAACCCGAAAAAAGAAAATCGACTTTCACAACCAACTCCTCGATGGCCTTACACACCTACATTCATTTAGACTGAGTCACGGAGACCTCTCACTGTTGAATATTCAAGTGACGCATTCCTCCGATACCATCAAGCTTTTCGACTTTGGACGTTCTGTGTCTATGGACTCGGTATTCATCTCGCCATCAGATGAGCCTGTTGATCCTTTCCAATACATTGCACGGATAGGGCCGGCTGCAGCAGTAGCACCGCAAAGGAAGGTGGAGCAAATACACCCAGGTACAAGGCCATTCGCGGCTCCAGAGGTCCTCCGTGGGGAGTGTCAGGATCCGCTATTAGCTGATGCCTACAGTTTCGGGATGATACTCGTCGCGATTGACCGCGTCGAGGTAGTTGACCTCAAGCCTTGGGAGCAACGGAAGGATGTGGTGCCCGAGAGCCTCTTTGAGGGGTGCGAGGTGTTTGAGGAGTCCGCGCGTCAATATCTCAGGCGGTGTGACACCAGGAAGAGGCTTTCAAAGCACGACATGATGATGTTGGTGGATGAATGAGTTCCTGTGCGCTTTTTTTGCAGCTCCACAACCCCCCTCACTCCAACACGGACAACATCGAGCTCCACGAGCCGATACCCCAGCACAACACCGCAGTTCAATTGCATCTTCGGTGTAAGTACTTGTACATTTTCCATTCTTGATGGCCAATATCCATCTCAAATTTACATCCTGTACGACTACTACTAATCTCTGGACACCACTCAATCCGCACACACTCATCACTGTATATATCACACTGATTAGCTACGTTCTGATACCGAATAATGGATTTTCCCTACTTTACATGCACTTTCCCTGTCGTAGTAACTTTGTAACCAGCCTTCCATAAAATGAAACTTGATTCCCACGCTTGTCTTTACAGCTCATCCTTGACTTTCCTCTCCCGCATCTAAGCAGTCACTAAACATGGCGACCGTACATCCCTCACGCATGGGTTTGGTCCCACAAGACCCAAAAGATACTTATCTCGCCCGAAGACGTGCACGCTCCCCTTCACCTCGAGCACGTAGCCCACCACGACACAGTGAACGAGAAAGAGACAGCGGCAGAAACCGAGCGAGGGACCGCAGTAGAGAACGCGAGAGAGACAAAAGGAGGGATGCTAGTAAGCATAAGGACAGGGATGGAGGGGATGTCAGAAAAAGAGATGATGATATAGATCCGCGGCAAAGCCTCAACCCTGACCGAGGACGAGATCGCGAGAGGGACCGCAGCAAAGAGCGGCGTCGGGGAAGCCCTGAGTACACTGACTACAAGCGCCATGCGACGCCTCCACCTACTGAGGCTCCGTGGCGGAATCAGGAGAATTTGTACCCCAACCGACAAGGGAGGGATCGACCACCGCATGCTGGTGGGTCGTATGGTGGTGGGGGGAGCGAGTATTTGGAGAGGTACGTTTCCAGTCATTGAAATCAGTAAATGATGTATTGAATTCAATACAGTCGTCGAGCACAAAGAGATGCTTCGACACTAAGCATCTGGCCTCCTTCTCCCAAGGCTCCAACGAGAACACTGTACGTTCATTTTGCTGCTTAACATTTGGTATACTAAAATTACATTCAGTTCACCTTCTCGTGTTGCAAAATCACGCAAATCTAAACGTGACCGGTCATTAACCCCTACTGACTCCTCTGACAGCGAGGATGAACGCAGGCGGAAGGAACGCAAAGACCGAAAACGTGCGCGAAAAGAGAAAGACAGAGCTGAACGACGGGAGAGGAAAGAGAGAAAGAATCGAGCACATAGCAGACACCGGAGCTACGACAGTGCGGAAGAAGACCGAGAGAGAAGCAGGCGAAGCAAGAGCAAGAGTTATCACCCTCGCAGCCCAAGTCCTAGTCGTACCCCATCGCCCCCTCGTGCATCTGAGGAGGACGAATGGGTGGAGAAACCCGCAGCTGCACCATTTGCCTCTTCGTCCTCAGTCGATCAGAGCCTTAACTCCATGCCACCACCATCCACTATCCCATCACACTCTGGAGAGGCGATGGACGAGGACTCTGATGAAGATGTCGGACCCCAACCGCTACACAAGGTCATCATGAAGAAGTTCGATGAACGCGCTTATGGTAGTGCTCTACTTCGCGGTGAAGGTAGCGCCATGGCTGCCTTCTTACAGGATGACACGGACTCGCGTATCCCACGTCGTGGTGAAATCGGTCTCACCTCGGATGAGATCGCTCAATTCGAGTCAGTCGGCTATGTAATGAGTGGAAGCCGGCACAAGCGCATGAACGCAGTGCGTATGAGGAAGGAGAACCAAGTCATTAGTGCCGAGGAGAAGAGGGGCATATTGAAGTTGCAGAAAGATGAGAGGCAGAGACGGGAGACTATACTAAGGGAGGAATTTAGTGAGCTTGTGACCGAGAAGCTTAAGGGGCCGCAAGTGCAGCCAAAGTAAAGGCTGTTATTTAACTCATCCAAATCGTTCGCGTACATGTATTTGACCCACTGGCACAACTAATATCAGCACTTGCATGACCATTGACCATTATCTGTCTACAATTCTGAACGAGAAGTTTTCTGCAGGCTAACAAGCTCGACGTCGAAGACTAAGGCGGAATGTGGAGGGATAACACTGCCAAATCCACGCGAACCTAATGGACCATGATTGAGTACATATCTCACAGACTGCTGGAATAAACCAACCGTAAGCCATGTCTGAAGGAATCGTCAAGGTACGCTTTTCGTTGAGGCACATGCCTTGGAGACCCTCGTCCCATCCTTTGATAACCTGCCCAACACCAACTGGATAAATAAACGATCAGCAAGGCACCTTGAACGCAAACTGAATGACCCACGTTTGATAGGTAATGGTTGGCCTCGGTCGACACTATACAAAGATGATTATAATTAAACCACAAACAAAGAGAAGGCTGTTACCGACCTTGAATCAAACTTGCTACCGTCGGAGAACAACGTCCCAGTCTGTATTTCATGCCACATGTTAATTCATGCGACGTAGTCAACTCACGAACCAAAACTCACGTAGTGTACCTTAATGGCGTCACCGGTCTTGGCAGTTGTAGAGCAGTCCTCAGGCAAGTAGGTGACCGAAATCTGCAGCTCCTTCGGCGGCTCGGCGGCCAGCGCGCACACCGCCAAAGCGAATATGGAGAGCCAAAATTTGAGGAACTGCATAGTACAGTAACACTAAAGTTCGTGGGTGCGTATGTACGAGTTTAAGTCTCGTCCCATTCGGATACCGGAAGCGTGAGGCGAAGAGCGGCTAATGCCGTGCATGCCGCTGAGTCAGCAACTGTATAGTGAGTTCACGATGATAACCTTATTTTTCATCACATCTCATCACAGCGAGGAACGACCCCCGACATCGACAGAAATGGTGAGTTTTGACGTTGATCACTGCGCCATGTACTGACAGGTGAATTTGCTTCAAGCCTTCCCAAAAGTCCTTCAGAACGAAGCGTATCCTCGCCAAGGCCGGCCGTCAGAACAGGTGAGTGGGGTGTCTTGATGCCTTTACACCCCAGTCATAAACCACTTCCAGGCCTATCCCTCAGTGGTTCCGTCTAAAGACAGACACTAAAATCCAAGTATGTGCCGTGGTTCTTGGGAGCCGAGAGCGTTGCTGATGCTTTATAGTACAACGCTAAACGCCGTCACTGGAGGCGCACAAAGCTCAACATTTGAGCAGCCTTTTCTTTCTTTCATTCTCGATGTTTTTGGCGCTGTGAAGTTGAGGCAGAGACAACACGGAGAGACGCACCACACCAATGCAACGCAGCATGTATCACCCCTTACTGGCATATTATGGCTATACAATCACCTCCGCATGCAAATATCACCTTTCCTTCTTCCTTAAGTCATGTCTGTTTCCTTGAGACTCTCATCGCCTATAGTGCACTGTTGTGCTCAATTCACAGTTGACAAAACGCAATACTGGCATTTTCTTTGTGTCATTGTCCCGAGCGCTACAGGTGTTGCACGATTTTGAGCAATTGAGTTAATGTCCGTCGGGACAGTAAATTGAGCAGCAAGATCAGTTCTTGGACTGCCATGTTGCAATCTGCCAATTAGCGAACATGATGATCCGGTGCGAAGGCCGCAACGCCGCGAGCGCCGTATGGCTTGTACCAACGTGTTCGGCTGTGTGCAGTGTTGACGTTTCTTTCAAACTTGCTGACTAGCTGAAGGTTTGATATTCAATCATCACCTGTACTTGCACTGCACATCCTCTCTTCTTTGCTATCAAGTGCGAGGTCCGTATTGATATCCACCATGTCACTCATCTTTACGATTTTCGCGCTCGTCTTTCTGACTGAGCTCGTCTCATGGATTGGCCAAACTGCCCTCCTTGAATTTGTTGGTATTCTTCTTAATGCCTCATACGTATGAGTTTACAGTTTCTTCCTACTAGGCATGGGATCTCTACAGCAGACTCTTCATGAATGCCTCATATACTCGACAGCGCCAGCTGAAAGCTGAGCTCCTTACGGCGAAGAAAGAGTTGATGCAAACGAGCGCACAAGATCAATTTGCCAAGTGGGCAAAGCTGAAGAGAGGCGTTGACAAAGGGCTAGCAGAACTTGAGAAGTTCAGTACGTCGGCTGCACGACACGTTGATGCATACCGATGAACTGACGTGCTTCATAGATGGAGAGCTTGCGTCCAGGAAGACTGCATTCTCACTGAAGTTCAAGACACTGATGTGGGTCCTTACGACAGGACTATCATTCTTCATTGGCTGGTGGTATAGAAAGGCTGCAGTATTCTATCTACCTCCTGGTTGGCTTGGCCCACTCGGTTGGTGGATGGCTTTCCCTTTCGCACCTAAAGGTCAGCATTCCCACAGTTATTAGCACGATCAGTCTGCGAATAATGATCGACCCACGCCAAGGTTCTGTGAGCGTCGGGGTGTGGCAATTGGCTTGCCGCAGAGTCATTAAAGTTGGAGAGCGCACGGTGAAAAATATCCTCGGTAAATTCAGTCTACTTATATCCATCATTGTCGAATACTTATCACAATCTTCCCTCGTCGGGTAGCGCCTTCGGAACCCGTCGCCGTCCCAGTTGAAATGGGAACCAATTCCAAGAGCTCGTGATAAGGAGTAGTGGCGGATCCCCGAAGGAGATCCAGCACTGATATTCTTATGGTGATCTGTATGCTTATGCTTCGCGGATTCAACTGTCTGTACTCCGTGTTCAATTTCAGTTTCACGTAATTTTGTGGTTATTGCAGAAATAAACACATGCTCACTCAGAATGATGTCGGACCAGCGGTATGTCGGAGTCCCGACACTAGTACATAATACACACTAATCTAATCTGGTTCCACAACTCCACTCATCTTTCTCAAACATGGTTGCAGGCGTTCAGATCCACACAAAGGTCGACATTTCTAACCCTCAATCTGACATCCTCACCGATGGTGCACTTACCTTCCTCGCTGCACTTCATAGGACGTTCGAGTCTACAAGACATAGCCTCCTAGTTGCGCGCGATGATGCGCAGCGCAAGTTTGACTCAGGAGTGCCTCTTGACTTTCCTCTTGAAACAGCGCACATCCGTGCTGAGCCCTCATGGCACTGCGCACCCCCTGCACCTGGTCTTGAAGACAGACGCGTCGAGATCACAGGTCCTCCTGACCGTAAGATGGTCATCAACGCTCTGAACAGTGGTGCAAAAACCTTTATGGCAGATTTTGAAGGTTCGCATGCCATCCATGATACGCACAATTACGCTAACATAACATGTCCAGACTCCAACGCTCCTACGTTCGCGAATGTGATTAACGGCCAAGTCAACTTGCGCGACGCCATAAGGCGTCAGATTGACTTTGAGTCTGGCGGCAAGCAATACAAGCTGTCTGAGAAACCAGCAGTACTTATTGTTCGGTACGTTGCACATGATTTTTCTAGCTCCCAATTCGGTTGTTCATATTTCGGTCTAGGCCTCGGGGCTGGCACTTGGACGAGACACGTATTACGATTGACAATGCCCCTATTTCGGCTTCTCTCTTCGATTTTGCACTCTACTTCTACCACAATGCGAAGGAACTCATCAAACGCGGCTCGGGTCCCTATTTCTATCTTCCGAAGATGGAGCACTATCTCGAAGCTCGTCTATGGAACGACGTCTTCCTCTTCTCTCAGTCCTACATTGGAATAGCCCACAACACAATCAGGGCGACTGTCCTCATCGAGACGCTTCCCGCGGCGTTCCAAATGGAAGAAATTCTCTTCGAACTCAGAAACCACTCGGCTGGATTGAATTGCGGAAGGTAAGGAGCATTCATATGCGTATAATTAATCGTACATCCTGTCATGGGTCAGTCGCTCATTTCCGCGTGTATTCTTAGATGGGACTATATTTTCAGCGCCATCAAGAAGCGAAGGGCGGACAAAAGCGCTGTGTTACCAGACAGGAAAGATGTTACTATGACAGTGCCATTTATGGATTCGTATGTGCGCCTCTTAATCCAAACTTGTCATAGGTAATGCCACGTTTCGTTCATGATGATAAGGTACTCATCATGGTTTAGGCGGAAAGTTGCTGCTATGGGTGGCATGTCTGCTCAAATCCCTATCAAGGATGACCTTCAAGCCAACGAGGTGGCGATGGAGAAGGTTCGAGCAGACAAATTCCGTGAGGTCACTGCTGGCCATGATGGCACGTGGATTGCACACCCCTTGATCAACCAGATCGCTCGCAAAGTGTTCGACGAAAATATGCTCGGTCCTAACCAGGTTCGCACGGGGATACTGTTTTACCTGTTCCTATTGCTCACGCATCGGTTATAGTACCACATCAGACGTGAGGATGTGAAAGTAGCTGCAGCGGACTTGTTGAATGCAAGCGTTCCCGGAAAGATCACGGAGGATGGTATCCGCTCTAATATCTCTGTGGCTCTAGCATACTGCGGGGCCTGGATTGGCGGCAATGGCTGCATCCCTATCAACTACTTGATGGAGGACGCGGCTACTGCTGAAATTGCGCGCGTGCAGCTCTGGCAGTGGGTGAAATATGGCGCACGTATTGACACTGGCGAGCAGATTACCACGCAGTATGTTGACCGTATCATCGCAGAGCAGGCGCCCGGCATCAAGAAGATCGCCCCGGGCGTCAAGGAAAGCCACTTGAAAATTGCCAAGAAGTATCTCACGGCGCAAATCAGGCAACAATGGCCAAGTGAATTTTTGACGAGTGACTTGATGCCATACTTGACGATGGCTGATGGCGTCGAGGACAAGTGGTACAGGAACTCTTTGTAAAAGCGTTGCGGATGCGTACCTCCCGGATATATTTTGCTCGGTGTACTTGTAGTATCATGCAGATTAATTAATGATTGAGTCGCCAAGATGTTACGGTTAATGTGCATTATGTCCTAGCATTCTCAAGGACCGTAATACGTGTGAACAAGTCGCAGGAAAAAAACAGTTCCTCGGGCCAGGGCCTGCAAGTGTACCTAATACCTATGCCTTGGAAACATTTACAACTGCGCCATGCATAAGTGCACGACTGTAGGGACAAGCCTGGGAGGAGTACCACGGTCAGCGGATCACAATACATACTCCCAACACGCGTGAGTAGAGGAAACGTACCTCGTGACCAGCCTTGATCAGTTCCTCATCTTCCACACCCTCAACCTTTATATCCACGGCTAACCCAAACCCCCCAAGCCCCTCCGCCTCTCCGAGATGCACGGTCGTGTGGATCACGGCGTGTCTTGCGGCATCTCTCTTTCCCGTCTTGCCTGCCATCATCTGCAAGGCTCCGAGGAAACACGCTACATATCCGTGACGCATATATTCAGTGCAGATCACGCGATTTTAAACATATCAACGAATACGCACATGCGTATCCCATGGCGAACAGTTGTTCAGGGTTCGTCCCTTCGCCTTTTCCGCCCATTGCCTTGGGCGTTCCCAGGTGCAGAGAGAAAGGGGTCTCGTCGAATGATTTGACCTCACCCTTGCGACCCAGCCCAGCAGCGGTAGCATGAACGGTGTACTATACACGAGCATTTGAGTTGAAAAGACGCGTTATTGTCAGAGATCATTCTCATTCAGTCTGCCAGTAGCACCTTGTGGTTCTTGAGGGCCACGGGGGCGGCCCCCTTGGTCGCGTACGACCGCGTTGCTTGGATTGCCCGCACGCGAGACGTGCTTACGATACGTGCACCAATGTTCAACATTCTGGCTTTGCTTTAGCTTTCGAAAAGGCTTGGGATGGATGGTTCAAGGAAAGATGCAGGTGGGAGTTTAGATCGTGCGGGGGTATTTGAGTCTCCCCGCAATCACCTGCAACGTCACTGTCCATCCAGTCAGCCGATTACATAAATCACAAGAAATAAAAAATATTTCAGTTTGAATACAATACAATGATCAAGTCTACAATATGACTGCAAACAACACCTAGAAACCACTAGCAGTCACACGCAACTGCTCTAGCTTTTTGAGCACCTCTCCCACTGTGCGGTCAAGTTCTCCAGCAATCGCACTCTGCTTCGACCCTGGCAGCCGAGCATATGTCTCACACAAATCACCATCAACAACTGCCTTCACCGGTACATAGTAGCCTCTCCAGCTCAGGTGATCCCGGCCCACAAGACTGCCCTGCTCCGTACGCATGTGTTGCTCGAGCGTTGAGATGAAATCTACGTCCTCCTTGGACACGAAAGGCACGAGAATTCCAATAGTGCCATGAATGCCAGTGTAGAGTAGCACCTCGCGACCACCAGCAACGAGCGACACCTTGTGTATCGAGGTAACAAGATCACCGACGTGGAAGTGACATAGCATGTCGGTTTTGTGTGGGGCACCCATCAATATACCCTTTTCATGAAGGATACCAGCGCCTGTGGGGTCGTCATCCACTTGATCAGAGACCTTTGAGTCCAGGCGGTTCACAAATACGTTGCCGAAGCGATCACCGGCTGCAACAGTGTTGTAATCTACCATTGTCGCCGCAGTAATCCATCTGGGCTGAGTGTCGTCTGCGAAGACGAGCAGTCGATTCTCTGGTGCCTTGTATACTGCGAAATGTATCGACTCCTGCATGTCGCCGACAAGTATGCGGGAACCCTGGGTGTTGAGGCTCACGATGGCAGTAGAAAATGTCTGAAATGTGAATGTGAGCAAAGCGGATTGACAATGTTGGTGTATGCTTACTTTGTTCTCTGCTTTCCGTAAAAGCTTCTTCTTACCCATCTCATATATCCGCAGAGCCTTTCCAACGCCAGCAACCAGACGTCCTTGGAATCCCATGACAGCAAGGGGGACATCGTCTGTCTCTGTCTAAACGAGTCTGTCAGTAAAATGAAGTATTCGTCAATATATTACCTCACCTTGTGAAGGAGCTCCAATCCCACGCCATCCTCGGTAAAACGATAAGTTCGTAAGAAACCACTAGTACATGACCGCGGAGACAATAAAGTATCCTGCGCCGTGCCTACGACAAGATGTAATTCATTGTTTCGTGCAGAGAATGGTACGAAGGCAAGGCTGAATGCAGCCTCGTTGTTGTCTAGTGTGACAGTCGAAACGGTCCTGCCCTACAAAACGTAAATGTAAGCCCACGCACCAGCCAGTCATGACATGGTCTTACCTCAACAGGGTCGATGATGCGGATTGCGGACGCCCAGTTCCCTGCTGCCGCTTTTGGCCGTCCAAAAATCTCAGGTGGTAGGTCAAGCATTTCTTGATCAACGTGCTGTCCTGCTTGCGTCTGAGATAACGATAAGTCCGCAATAGTCACAACGCAAATAACAAATCTCACCATGGCCTGTAACCGTTTGTTGGCGGCCTCATCGCCCAAAACACGATGGTCGCCTTCAATGAGATAAAAGTGGCGATTTTTGGGGTGAGATATAAACCTCCTAGGGGTCAAGGATAGCGGAATTGAGTCTTGCTTCAATTTCATGCCCAGTTTTGGTATTTGAAAAATACTGGAAAGGAAACAGTAGTCAGTGTTAATTCGAAACACAATAGAGTAAGGAAATTTCAGTAGGAACAATTGGTATTCAAAATATTCGGCATGTCCTCCTTAGAGGTTCATCCGGTATCTCTATTCTCATCTTTGACAAGGCATGGTGGACAAGATCACTCACCGAAGAACACTACCAGCTATGCCAATGAGTCCTTCAGGACTGAGCTCAGCGGAGAAACTCCATGCATAGTCCAAGTTATCAAAAATCAAGGGGGTGAAATGCATGAGATTTTGATGTGTGTAATTCAACCACGATCTGGAAGAGAGCGCTAGGATGGCCGGATTCCCTTGTATTTGAACACGAACCAATCTGACTGGTCGGTTCCCGAGGAATCTGATTGTAGACAATTAGCCGTGATTCTCCAATGAGCGAAACAACTCACCGAGTCCGAGTATCAGTTAGTTGCCCGTTGATAGGATCAAGTACTGTTCGTAGGAGAACGCCGTTTTGGAGACCAATGTTAACAAACATGGTAGGCTGGGTCTTGTTGATACTCGCATCTAGCATGTCGGCAATGCAGATAGTTGATGGCGGTGCCGTCAACGCTTGCAGACTAATTGTTTCCAGTGTGCTTTCTGGGTCAAGCGACACTATTCGAACGGTCTGGTCCTCGCATCCAACAGCCTAGCAATATGTGAGTACATGATAGGGTTTCAAGAAAGATGGCTTACCAGATATGGCGTTCTTTGGCGTCCCTCAGGTACCTCAGCTATGCTTAGAGCTGTTATGGTCGAACCCATAGCCTTCCTATCTTGATATTCATTCAACTGTCCATCAAGATCGAGTTCGAAGTAGACCAGTTCAGCAGAGCTCAGAGCAACAACCACCTGGCGTTTGTTTGTCGTAGCAGTGACAATAGTCTTTCCTTGAGGAGCCGACCACTGATTGACACGGTGGTCCGCAAGTATATGACGAATGCCTTGTGGGTGCACCTGCAGGAGGGCGTCAGCGCCAATTTGCTGAACAGCAAGAGTGGGCGCTGATGACAGGATACCGGTGTCCTGCACTTCTTCAATTGTTTCTCCAATGGAAAGGACGAGAGTTCCGTTGACGAACGAGAGAATAATGTAGGTATCAAACTCATCTGCAAGCGACATCAGCGGATGTTCTTCGAGATATCTACGAAACAAAGACTTGCCGTCCTCGCGCCGCTTAGTTGTCCAGACGGCATTGGGAATACCAGGTAACTCTGAGCTTACGGATTCTTCAACGTCAAGACCGTGGCGAAGCGTTCTGAAAGAACTCCTTGTTCCACGTCCGCAAGCAGTAAAAATCTGAGGCGTATCTGAGTTTGGTAATAGGTTCATCACCTTGGAATCTATGATGGGGTCCAAGGATTCCATTTCATCTGCGAGTGCAAGATTATCTAGCGGTCGTGGCCGGAAGTGCGCATGAGGTAAAGCAATGGTGGGATTTGCCATTCCGGTGCCCGGATACGACGTTGAGCTAAACTCAGGTTCATTGTCATCGTCACCCAATTTCTGGAACTGGTACAAATAACTGAAATCAATGTCAGAAACTTCTCGCGAAACGTTGAATTGAGAGACGCACTGATTTCCAAACTCGGATGCAACGAAAAGGAAACCAGATTTAAGAATACATAGACTGGATGCCACAGGGACAGTGTCAAAATACTTGATTTTTAGTGCCTTAACTTCGTCCTCTTCATGATCAATTGTGACCTTAAAGAGGTCGCCATCCTCGCTTTGAAGGAGAAAGAAGAAAGCACCCTACGAGAAATATTAATCAAAACAACAGCGACAAGTTGCAACAGACCAACCTTCATTTTGTGCATGACGGCTGTAACGATGATGACGCCTCGCTGACGATCTTCCAGAGGGTGTTGTCTTCGTGGGATGGGGACACGGTGTTGTCGTCGGTCCATGTGTCGGTAAATTATGTGGTCTTCACAGCAAACCAGAACACCAGATGGTCCATCGAAACGATCCGTAGATGCGACTTGGCCGCCAGGGACTTGAACCAGTAAATTGGCACGTGGATCTGTGGCTTCGCTCCATTTTCGAACGACATGGTTGAGGCCCAAATCAAGTTCGTAGTACTGTTAGCATCTGGAAACTCATCAGTCATCAGATACTACAAAATCATCAAACACACCTTCTCTGCATTGTTGAACGCTTCCCCTGTAGGGTCTTGATCAGACTCAGAGTAGTCGACTTCGAGAGCAGCGAACAATGGGTTTTCAAAGCCCACATCAAGGCCGACGATATGATGAATGATCGCATTGTTTTTGTGTGCCTCGAGAGGTGACGAAATCGTAAGGTTGGCTGCAGCATCTCGGTTCAAGATGTACACAAGTTTAGCCTTCTCTACTGATGAGATCATCACGCTACGGCCCTTGGGGTCAGTCGCAAGGTATTGTCCAGGTACAATGCGTCGCGCTCCAGACTTGCCAAAGGTTTCTTGATGTAACTTCACGAAACTGCTTGTCTTCGGGTCATAGTCGAGAATGATGATGCGGCCAGAATCCGAGCCTACGATTGCGTAGTCTGAGAATAGAGTATGAATAAAACGGAAACAAAAGATGATACGTACAGGGAGCTCACCCTTGGTACTGCCTGTCAGACGAAAAGCTGCAAGAGAGCGAATAGAGCCGAAGACATCAGAGGCAATGACTGTTGATAGTTTGCCGGTCTGAACATCTGGGCGCAAGAGCTCCAGTCGAGTGCCACGAGAGATGATAATTTCCTGGGTTCGTGCGCCAGAAAAATTGCCAACGATAGCTTGCGTAGCTGCCGTCGGGGGCTGAAGCGTCAAATTGTATAGATGCATCCCCCAAGTGGTCAAAGCCGACGACGACACGTCGAACTAAAACTATGCATGCAAACTGTCAACAATATTTTCAGCAGTTTGGTTTGTGGCTGAACAACACTTGAGCTGACACATCGGGGTGAACGATATGTAAAAGAGGTTTATATGTTGTACAAAATGTGAAAACAATATTTGATATTTAAACTAACATAAAGATGGGTGCACGACTTCAAATTTTGGTGGTGTTTTGTGTGTCATCCAAAATATCAAATATTCACAACCATATTCCCACAGACAATATGTCAACAAATATAATAAATATAATCATATTTTCCATGTCTGCTTCAATTTAAAGTTTGATTCTTACATAAAACTTTGGAGAAAACTTGAAGTTTTGCCAAAGCTTGACATTTAAATCGAGTTTTAATGTCATGTCATCTGTAAAACTTCAAGTTTTCTCCAAAGTTTTACATGGAAATTGAACTTTAAGTTGAAGCAGACATGAAAAATCTGACTATATTTCTTATGTTTGTTGACATATTGTCTGTGGGAATATGTTTGTGAATATTTGATATTTTGGATTACACACAAAACACCACCAAAATTTGAAGTCGTGCACCCATCTTTATGTTAGTTTAAATATTAAATATTGTCTTCACATTTTGTACAACATATAAACCTCTTTTAAATATCGTTCACCCCGATGTGTGACATAATTGCTTGATTTTGGCAACTCCTGTTGTTCGCGAATCGCGAGTATACGCGGGCATTTGCATTCAACTGCTATCGGTTACGCAAATGACCTCAAGATGCCTTGGTAAACGCCGCAAGTGAAACACTGAAAATGAGAATCGACACTCAAACAAAAAGTGTTGTAACACTCAGTTACTAGCCCGCTACGGCTTTTTTGAGAGTCCACATTTTTGCCAATTTGAGATACAGGTCCATACGTAGATCTAGGGGACACCCGTGTCCCCTCCCATTTCTCCGTCCCCCTACCCCCATGAGTCCGCCGTTCCTGCCGGCTGCTTCAGCATCTACACAACTCAAACCACTATTCTACGTGAGGTTCCCTACGTCCGCCGTTCCTGCCGGCCGCTTCAGCATCTATACAACTCAAACCACCATTCTACTACTCCCATAAGTCCGCCGTTCCTGCCAGCTGCTTCAGCATCTACATACTCTCTAAAATTGAATAATTAGCGCCCGTGATACATGAGGGAGAGAAAGTCCTGACATTAAGGGCAGCTTCTCTTGTGCACTTCCAGGTTGGATGTACGCGTGAATGGCTGGTTGCAGGTGTTGCAAAGATACCTGATCCCGAAATGGTTTGCTTGCACATGCCGTGTAAGACTTGCTTTTGTTATCATCGTGTTACAACCCAAAAAACGGCAAAGGACATGGAGATCATCCAGGCCCCTAATTCCGTGACGGTCTCGGAGATGGCTTGACGTATCGTACCCAAATATCGAATTATTGCAATGAAATCCGGCAAGTTCACCATCCCACAAGCATTGGAATGTCTCGCCGAGAGAATGGAAATGCTGCAAAAAAAGTTCAGCCGCCGCGACGTCCAGTGAGAAAGAAAAAATGACCTGCGAGGATCCGTTGTTTGCCATAGGAGTATTGGGATTGCGTTCACTGCAGATTGGGGCTCCTGGAAACGCCTTTTTTATTATACCGAGCTTGCAAGGAGGCCCACCGTGCCAACTCTCCCATTCCTAGCTTGGAGGGCACTACGAGTCATGATGTGGGCTGGCGGGGAGCCACTGGGTAAATGCGCCTGGACGGTGAACGTTTCCTTGGTTTGATGGACAAAACCTTATGTGCCAGTTGGCGAGGGCATGTAGGAAATGGCCGGTCTGTGTTAAGCCTGCGCAGACTCCGCCTCAAAGTCTGGGGGACACGTCTGGGTGTGTTTTGTCGGCAAGCTTCGGGTTGTCTGACATCATCACTCCCGCCACTACGCCAGCCACTGTGACACTAATCCCATCAGCTACCCCCGTCAGTGGCTAGCCACCCCTACCATCTACATCAACCACCCCGTCAGCACTTCAGCCACCCCTGTGTCACACTTCAGTAGGTGCAATCAACGACGAGTCCGATTGATGACATTCCGCAGGATGGCACCTGGAATACTTGGCGGCTGTAGAGCTGTAGTTGATGATATGTTGTCTGTAGGCACGGGGGGCAACGTGAAATGGCGGGATGGCGGGACACTAAATTATGACATAATACAGCGGGCAGACAAACATAGACTTCCCGGCACTTTCTGGACCACTGCTGGCAGACCTGTCCCGGGCCCCAGACTTTAACACGGAGTCTGTGACTTGTCTGTATAGACCTCACGCAGACTCGTCAAATCCCGCACTTTCTGCAGTTGGCAGTAGTACCGATTAGTGTTGCCGCGGTTCCGGTTCATGCCCGGCTTTAGCCGTGAGCGGAGCTACTAGCATATTCGAAGTAAATCAAATCAAATCTGTTGAAAAATGGTGTAGATTGTGTTTTCAGCGTGGCAGCTAAATCAATATTCACCACCTGCCGTGGCTGCCGACGTCGGACATTAAATTCAACAGTACGTTTCATTAGCTGCAGTCGTCCAAGTTGTGAGCGCTGAGCTGGGCTCATGAGGCATCGCAGAGGCAAGCTGTCAGCATCTACTGACCCCAACTATGAGTCTAGGATCCAGGCTGCACTCGTGGACATCGCAAATGGCACCTGCAAGAATATTACAGTAGCTGCAAGGGTACACGAGGTATGATTATGTATTTTTGAAGTTCCTGCAATGCTAATTGCATTGTACAGGTCGCGCGGCAGACTCTTAAAGACCGTAGCAAGGGTCAGCATATGTCTTGCAAGGATGTTGCCAAGTCGCCGCAGCTCCTCCAGCCGTCTGAAGAAGAAGCTACTATCAAGGATTGGCCAGTTCATGAATCTGGTGCCGCATGCCCTGTGCACCCTCGTGATTTACGTGCCCAGGCTAAAGAGATCAGTGGAAAGCTTCCCGACAGTCCCGTAATGACTTCAGGGAGCTCACTCGTCACACGCTCAATTTCGACTGGGCTGCAATTTGAATTTGGATCTGCAAGTATTCCCGCAGTCCTGTCATACGATGAAGTGATGAACGGTGACCGTGAAGACTTGTGGAAGAACATCCAGCTTCACTACAGTCAGAACGAAAAATTGTTCGAGATGTATTGGATGCAGAGTGCACGACTCGCCGCTGTAGAAGCTCACTGCGCTCTCGTGAGCTATCAAATTTTGATGCTGAATGAACGGTTGACGAATAAGACCCAGAAGAAGCGTCAGAAGTCGAAGAAACTCAATGCCCGTTTTTTCACATACCCGGAGTTCAAAGCAGCCTCCGAGGCTGAAAAAATAGAGCGTATCGAGAAGTAGAAGGTTGACGCGGAGAAAGCTACCCAGAAAATAGCTGAAAACGATGTTCGGCTCTCGAGCATTGAGGAAGACATCAAAACGAAGGTATTTGACAGCTCGTTATCATCATACGAGCACAAGGATGAGCTCATCTCGCTATCGCCGGCGCTCTCTTGCTACCCAGAGATGGAACAATGATCGAACTGACTGCACGAATCAAAGAACATCTTGCAGCAAATCCTGCCTGTGCCAGTCAGCCAAGGTTCGCGGGACTCCTTGGGGACGAACGAACCAGTGCTACCACAACGTCGGCAGCTTCGACTTCAAACCAACCGCAGAATTTGCCACCAGAACTTCCTGCGACCTCCAGTTCCTCCCAGCATTGCCACGCGCTACCACCGCATTTCATACATCCATCATCTCACACAGGTTTCAGTATTTCCATACCACATCCAGCGAGTCACGGACTTCACAATCCATCTATATATCAAATAGCCGTTGGCACATCCACATACATTCCCTCAGCAATATTTTACACAGCATTGATGGCTTGCATTTGACTCCATATTTCTCCGTACATACTGTAGCTCACAGATTTACTACATAGTGTCAAAGGGTGAGAGCTAAGATAGCGCGAGCCTCAGTCTATGGCAAAGAGACTGAATTCCTAATGTACGAACCTAAGATAGCGCGAGCCTATAAGTACGCTAATGAGTATGTTATCAATAGGAACAACGAGAGCGTACACACCTCAGTCTATGGCAAAGAGACTGAGGTGCGACGAAGGCATCTACCTGCCTTAAGTAACAAGAGAGAAAATATGCGTAACTAGGTGAGTGACATGCAATGACAAGGGGAAAATATACAGTGACAGCCATGATATTAGAATGAGACTGGGTCGGGTGCTCTGATGGATCACCTCTCAACACATAGGAGCATCTTAATCAATTGCTATTGAAGTTCACAAATCACGTCTGCCGAGCGGACTGTTAGTTCGGCCAGTGACTCACGAAATAGTGAACCGTCACGAATATAGCGTAACCGATGGTCCGCAAATGAATGGTAGATATTCAACTCGGAGAAGTCAACAAACATTTTAATGTATTGTCTAACTTAGTATTAAATGAGATGTACGATAATGGGTGCTGAAAAGGACAGTTTGGGTAGGTGTGTGTTTTATATGGCATATCTTAAACACTCAGATCAGCGAAGGTCGTGGACAAAGTTATGAATCTCACCTGAACAACGGACTGGCATCGCCCATATCCCTGAATTCATTTTTTCTGCTGTCAATAAGACCTTCCGCCTGACACTGCGCTTCCTTCTTTTTATTAAGCCGGCTATAGTCCCACATAGCGAACAGGCTCAGCGAAATTCTATAACGGAAGTGGTTATCAATAGTACAGTCCAAAAACCCGAAAAGACATACGAGAGACAAAGGAATCCCATGATAGTGCCATGTCCAATGTGGAAATTCGGCGGATCGATGTAAACGAATGAGGAGCAAATACTAAGACAAGGTTAAGCGGACGACGTATATCTGTGATGACATGACGTACCCTCCCAGGTTTCCAAGGCCAATGACCATCGCTATCACAACGCCACGCTTCAAGTCGCCTCCTGCATTTGAGCCTGCCCAAGCGAGATCGACTGCGATTGTTGGATATACACCAATAGCAGCCAGACAAGCTCCAGTATACGACATGCCTGCTGACCCGTCACAATAAAGTAAGATATATCCCACAATCGATACGCAGGCGCCACCAATGATAAATGGGCCGCGAATTTGGTACTTGTCAGAGTAGACTCCAACTAGGATTGTGGCGAAGCATCCTGCAAGAAACGGTGGGGCTGAGAGCAACTGAGCATGGGTAGTGGAATAGCCGAGTTCATTGATGATAGTTGGCGTAAAGAGAGCAATGGCATAAACAGGGACGAGCAGCCTAAGGAAGGACTCAGCTTCGTCAATAAGAAATAATGAGACAAGGAGTACCCCATGTAGATAAAAACTTGAATGTAAGTTTTGTAATCTTTCATAGCCTGCAAGACAAATCGAATATGGTAGTGTGTGGCGAGATCATTCGCATCTTGTTTGAGCATATCTATCACGTATGCTCTCTCTGTCTCGGTGAGAAACTTGGCCGTTTCGGGATACTAAAAAGTCTAAATGGTTAGTGCAAGACACAACATATGCAGGAACTCACATCATGCATGAAGAAAAACGAGAGACACGCTACGAATAGGGTGGCTGATTGAAGATGAACGTCTGGATTACCTCTGAGACCCAGCAGACTCACCATTACCCTCTAATAAGAACTAGGAGTGCACATGAAATGAGTGACAACTTGACCTGAAAACATACAAACATACAATCCATTGCCAACCATGCAATCCTCCGATGCTAATCAACGAATCAATGATGGACGGTCAATGTCAATATATTACTTACCCTTCCAAATGCTCGATACCATATCTTTATGAATGAGAAGGTCAAGCCCGACAGAGGGTTGATCGAAAAGTTTGAAGACTCACGCAAGGAGTCCGCCGAAAGCACCTAACAACCAAAGAAAATGTGAACACGCATGAACTCGACGCTTAATGAAATGTTGCATACCTGCGACTGTTGCTGCAGAAAAGAATATGGCAATGCGCTTGGACTGTTCAGATCGTGGATACCAGAGAGATATGTAGTAGGTCACTCCAGGGAATAAACCCGCTTCTGTCAAACCTAGGAACATCCGAGCTCTACCGTTACATAGTTTAATGCGTCTGTTTTCACCATGTGGGTAAATTCTACGCACACGACAAGAGATCGAAATGAATCAACGAGACACATAAGGGTCATCACGAGACCCCATGCGAGCATAATAATCGGTACTGGAATGAATATTAGGCGACGGGGAAAACAAGGTGAAGGTAAACGTACTCCAGCGTGATGGTCTGAATAGCTTCAGCGCAATATTCCTGCATAAACATTGAGAATGGACATGTTATTCTTGACGTTAGACATACGAGGGGACCTCAGCGAAGCTATACAGTATCTAGAGGAGGCAAGTAAGTATTGGTAAGAGTGAGCATGTTATATCACGCACAAAAAAGACGGCCGCCGCAATGTTGTACCTCAGACCGACCAAATTGAGGTCTTTAGACATGCCAGCGACTTTCGCATTTCCTGCGAGTGGTAATGGTGATGAATAGAAAGTATGATGTACACATCCCACCGCTTACCAACATTGGCCCGGTCCCTGAAGGTAGCATGAAATATGAAGCAACACTAGACAAGGCAAGCGTTCGACAGACTCACAAGAATGATAACATGTATAATAACGACACGAATGGTAACAAATGCCAATCGAGCTTGCGCAAAATGCGTGCTCTTTCTCCCGGATTGAGCTCCTCGGCAATTTGTTTTTCTTCTATATGAAGGACCGTCGCGATGCCGCTCTTGTGCAGCGAGTCTGTACTACCCTGTGTTAAAGTAATGGAAAGGAATGACTGGTTAAATGAGTGGCTTGACATCTGGAGAGTCGAGATAAATCCCCGTTCAAACAACTTGAGTGAGCGGTTGGTATGGTGGTACTGGAGTTACCAGTTGAAGAAAAAAAACTAGAGACAGAAATATAACGTTATCGATCTTGGACTGACCCTTGGTATTAAGTTGGCCAGAGGTCGGGGACTCGGATTCGACCAGACTATCAGGATTCAGGGTAGCCGTATGCTAAATATTCATTCCGTCACGGACCGAGGCCTCTTCGGTTTCACAGACCCTGAGAAGTAAAATGCACTGCTTCATGATAATGAATGGGTCGATACCGATGCATAACTCTGTGGTAGTTACGGAACACCCACATTCACCAGATTCCGACCAGCTGAAATCCCGCAGGAGTGCTGCCAGCCTGCAGGGTGATGACGTAAATTGTGATAAACGATAAACGATCTTTTATTGGCTGACTACGCTACTGATGTAACTCAGGTACTACATATAGAAGTGCCACTGATGCGCGCCAACTTATGTCAGACTTCTCGGAGTGGCCAACGTCTACTGCTACACTGACTGGTTGACTTTCTTGAAAGATGTTGAATAGATTATCATGTCATGAGTATCGCCCACATCAAGGAGACGTGCCGCGATGCCACTGATTCAGACAGCTGTTCATTCCAGTGAATTTGCAAATGCATTTCGCTTGCCCACCTCGAATAAACCTTAATTTATTGGGGGAGGGAGGAGGGAGGCGAACAGACTTGGATGGTCGGACTTTAGGCACCACGCCAGCGATATCCGTCGACATGATAAGCTTTCCTGGACGTCCAGCTTCGTCTGGCTCAGTCAGAGTTAGGAGCACGGCCTGCTAGTGTTGGGCTGGTCCGAGCGTTAGCTCGGGGAGGGACGCAAGCAGGTGGAGCCGCTGGGTGGGCGGGAAACCTGCTTACGAGTTAAAGCGCGACCGAACTCGTGTGTGATGCAAACAAAACTGTGTCTTTATATATAATTCTAACGATTGTGGTAATAAAGGAATACGAAGCGATAACGGTTCAAAGCTTAATTAAAAGGGAGTGGTGGGTGGGAGCAAGGAACGATAGGAAATGAGCAAGAAGACAAAGGATGTGCCGTTCGACATCGTACGTAGGTCGAAAAACGAATGAAGGAAGGTTACGCTAACGCTCAGCTCAGCTGGAAGTGTGGTGCCGGGAAACTCCGCAGGCTCCGTCTCGGCACCTGTACAATACGTGGCGCGATCCTGCATGATACACCCTTTTGCTAATTAATAAACTTTTCAGATTGATACTTAGTGCCCCGTACGACATGTACGATCATCTGCTAAATCAGTGTCTACCTAACCATGCTGCCACCAATCTGGTCCAATCAGTCATAGCATCTACTACATTCGACTGATCCTGCTCGAAAATTTTCCTGTCATCCCTGAATTTGTCGGCTCATTCGCGAAGTATTCGCGATCCCTGCATTTTATGCCGGCGCGCTCACGTTCGACTGTTACCAACCCAGGGTCTTTTGCATTCTG